CTTTATTTTTTGACCCGCTTTGTATTTTTCTGCGAGATACACACGCCAGCCAAGCAGTTAAACTGACTCCTGAGTAATACAGGGAAAAAAGGCCATTTAAATTTTAAAAATATACATAGACACACCATAAAAAGTATAGAGTTGCACAAGGTATATTTTCATCTGAAAAGACATCTAGATTTATTTTGTCAAAGTTATATTTATCTATATATATAATAATGAAAGTTGCCATTCAAAAATAAGACTACTTTCGTTGTGAATCTGCAACATTCCTGTAAAATGACCACAAACACAACATCATTTCTGTTACTTAGCAACCAATCTTTTGGGAGCATCAGAGTTCTCAAAAAAACTAAAATGCGTCAATCTATTTATATCCATGATGCACCAGTGGAATACAACTGATTTTTTTTTTTTTTTAATTCAAGGCAAAATTTTTTGCAAAGTACAACTTTCTCATGGACAAAGCAGGCACAAATGGACATTAGCAAAATACTTGGATAGCCATCTTGGCTGATGCACCATGGGAAAATTCACTATGCTCAAGCAATTGGAGTAGAGAAGTTTCATACAACTAAGCAACTAATGTTAAGCTTGACACAAAAATGAGCAAAGAATACATTGAATTGTAACTCTTCATTCGCCCCCATTCATTGTTACCATATCTAATAATTTTATGAAACACTATTTAAAAAATACTTTTAAACTTAATACTATGCAATATCTGTGTAATACTTTTGTGGAAACATAATGTTCCTTAACCACTTTCTACTTTACTTTCTAGCTCTGTATACAAATTACTAATATACTGTAAAAATTCAATTAATCTGCTGAAGTACAAACAAGTACATAAATCAATTTGTGTCAACATTTTTTCCGGGATGAGAAAAGATTCTCAAACATTTTTTATGATACTTTCAACATTATGATAGCAAATCTAAATCACAGTTGACATGCCAACCGTTGACAATAGCCAATAATTATTATTAGATGAGCAAGTCAATGTGTTTATATAAAATATTCACATTTCCTGGCCTATAGTTATTTAGCATAATTTATGATTTATATGTCACCAAAATGATGGTGCAACATTTTGCACTTTTTCCTAATTTTTGACAAACTGGACATAACTTTCCATGAACTACAAATCATGATCAAAAGTGAAAAAATTGACTGATAGTTCATTGACGTCAAAATGAAAATCTAATTAATATTTATAAAAATGCTGAAAGAAAAAAAAACTAATGCAAACAAGTCATTGTCAATGACACATCCCCGTTCCGTTCATATTTGAGTGACATATACATTCAAAGCAGATCATGAC